ATGTATTTATTTATTTTTATTGATGGACATTGGACAACTTTACATGTTGACAAGATGAAATTATTCTCCTACTTCCATCATTTTGTTCTTGATCGACTTGTTCTAAAACACCCCCACTCTTGGCACTATTAAACTCATGAAAGTAAATAAAATAATAATAATTCCCTACTACGTTAATAGTTATTTATACACCAAGTGAGTTAAATGAATGCTTAATCATGAGAAGAAAGTTTAACCCACGAGCCTTAGCGAGTGGGTTAATTTTCTTCGAATGAATAAACATTTTAACTCACGTGATGTATACAAAATTTTATCCCATTTTGTGAAAATTTAGAAAATAAAGTACAAGGAAAAATACCAAGAGTGAGTTAAAAATATTTTAAATCACTGAGGGGTCAGAGTTTTAGTTGGACAGAGTGACTTAAATTAAAATGCCGAGAGAGATAGTGATGCCGCGAGACGAGACTAGACGAGACTTAAGGTTGGTCTCGTCTCGTCTCGACATCTCGAGACGAGACCGTGACTTAGTCTTGGTCTCGAGTACCAAAGTCTCGTCTCGCCTCGATTGGTCTCGTCTGGTCTCGAGTTATACAGGGTGTCCGAAAAATAGCGTAAAAGCTCTTCACTACGTGGTGGAGGACCCTTCCAGGAATCTCAGAAAAATAATTTAAAAAATCTAGTGACATTCTTAAGAAAGTTATTTGCATTTTAATATTTATTAAAATTGGCAACACTGAAAATATCCCGTTGACAATGTGTCAGAGAATTAAATTAAATACCTATGTAATTACCTGTAGAATTCGAAAGTGAATTTCCACATTTACTTCTTCATATTACCAAGAATAATGCTGGAGAAGGATTTTTTGAATTATTTTTCTATGGTTTCTCAAAGGGTCCCCTACTACGTGGAGAGCTTTTACGCTATTTGTCGGACACCCTGTATTTATGGTTTTTATTTTTAAATTATAACGGATCTCCAAACTGCCACAGTGAAAAAGCAGTTATTTAGAGAGTGAAAAATCACAGTGAAGAGTAACCGAGATATTTGAAAAAATATGAACGTAAGATAAAAAAAAAATGTCGGAAAAAAGAATCACCCTGTAATTTTTTTGTGAAATAATGGCATGCTTTCTACATACTTTATTTTCAGATTTAACTTCCAGTTTAGCCGATAGTGCTTATGCTTTAAACATTTTTTTTAAATTGATTTCTCTACTGGCTAAACCGAAAGTGGAATCTGAAAGTTAAGTAGGTATTTTACGTAGGAATCATCTCATTAATTGACCTGTCTCACATAAATATATAAAGATAGTTTTATTGTAATAAATACAAGTTGGAAAGTAATGAAAGATGACATGCGCGCGCAACTAATGGGTTGCAGTGTAGCTAGTTTGTATTGTTGCAGAACAAATGTAGGCAATACAAATCGAACATTATGCTAATAAAGAAGTGATATTTTACAACGTGTTTCACAACGCTTTGAATCAGACAAAAGAAGAGCTTTAAAATGTATGTTAACATCGTTTGCACGCAATAATGACCTATTAACACAGATAGACAGAACAGTGAACAATAATATTGGTTGACTACATCCCAGGAACCGCATCTCTCCCCACTTTTTATTAATCCTTTTGTTATTTTGTATCTTTCTCTAACACATGGAATGCGATTATATTTCAATGAAAATTAGCAACGCTGCAAGAAAATAAATTCCACCTCGAATTCCACCTTTCCACCAATCAGCGGCTTCTATTCAATTGTCATGTCAATATGCGACCTAACTGTATTTTATGACAATTTCCATTTTTCAATCAGTGCGCACTGAGTGTATCCGCATCTTTTTCTAAAATCATGTAAAATATAAGGATAAGAATACACTTTTGTAGCACTGATTCTGGTTTCATTTTCAGAGTTGCCAAGTATGTGATAGTAAAGTGGGGGCAGGGGCGTCGCGTCGGGGGGGGGGGGGGGGGTAATTACCCTCCCCGACGCTTTATTTTCTTCACAAAGGAAATAATTGTTCTGGAAAAGTGAATGACCTTCAAATTTGCAAAAAAATTTGGCCTGCGGCGCGTTAGCGGGTGGTGGCATCTTCTCATTACCCCCCACCCCAGACTACAAGTCACGCGTCGCCACTGAGTGGGGGCGGAGTTAGCGGAATCATTTGAAACCCTACTCCTAGCCGCTTTCACAGCTCACCCCCCCCCTGGCCCATAAACATGTAGTCAACCAAAACAATAGTAGATTATACCACGAGTCAATAATGATAGCTATTATTCCCGAGGAATATTTACGAACTGAGCCGCGTCAGCGGCGAGGGAGTAACATTCCGAGGGAATAATAGCCATTATTGCGAGTAGTATACTCTACTTTATTTACGACAAATTAATTTATTTGAGATTTTCAATGAACAAATCTCATCCGTCTCATAATTTTCAATACAAATTCACAAGTACTACACGTTTGACACTGACACTTTTGTGGAATAATGACCATTAATCCCGCTACTCGTCATTAATCCCTGGAGGAATAACATATGTCATTATACTGCCAAAATCACAAATATAATACGCACATTATACATTAGTCGTAAATAAAGCTATTTTATCAATGGGATGTTCTGTCTATCTGTGTTAATAGGTCATTGTTTGCACGTTTATTTTGATAAATGTTTCATCTGGCAACATCGCACAATGAAAGTGCAAAGGAATATGTCAAGTCAAGTATAATCTGACATAATTTCAAACAGCACTGCATTGAGTTCAGAAGTAATACGTAAAGTATTAGTTTGCACTTTGTCGAATTACACGTTAGAAAGAAAGAACGAACTATTAATTCTGAAGTGGCCCCTGATTAAGAATATGACAGGACAGAAGCCCGTAACAAACTCGCTTCTCATTGGACGCTCACCTGCAACCCACGAGTTGCGCGCGCAGTCAAGGTAAAGAAAGATAAATCAATTGTTAGTATTAGAATTTACTGATTTCATATCCAAATAACCCAGAATAGGCCAATAATAAAGCTATGAAAGAAAAATTTTACTTGTAATGTCGAGACTCGAGACTACACGAGACTCTCGCCAGGTCTGGTCTCGTCTTGTCGAGACTTCACGAGACGAGACCAAAAGCCAGTCTCGTCTCGAAAAGTCGAGACGAGACGAGGCCAGTCTCGAGTCTCGCGGCATCACTAGAGAGTGAGTTAAAATGTTTTTAAATGACTAAGGTGATAAACGTCTACTTACCTACCTTTATTGTTATGCGTTCAATAATGTCATTTTTAAACGTCAAAATGGGATAATAGTTATTTATTATACACCAAGTGAGTTAAATGAATGTTTATTCATGAGAAGAAAGTTTAACCCACGAGCCCATGATGTATACAAAATTTTATCCCATTTTGATGGACATTTAAGAAATAAAGGACATAATAGGATTCAAATTATAAAAGGAATTAATTTGGTAGCATGTGAAAGCGCTAATATCTATTGAATGATGAATGAATCCAAGCCAGTGGAAGGAGTTGGTCTGGGCATTTCTGGCCCTAACTTCAAGCTCTCCAAGGCATTGGCTAAATATCTTACAATATTTCAAGCCGAACTGCTTGCCATAGATATATGTGCACAAGAGTGTCTTAACCAAAGCCTCAAAAGAAAACACATCTTCATACTATCGGACAGCCAAGCTGTCTTTAAAAGCCTTAAGGGCTTTCAAATGCACGTCAAAACTAGTCTGGGAGTGTAAACAGACCCTAAAAGCACTAGCGACACACAACCAGGTAACGCTGATGTGGCTGCCTGGTCATTGAGGCATAGAAGGAAACAAAGCAGCAGATGGCCTCGCAAAAGAAGGGCCTTAACACCATACCATGGGCCAGAGCCCTACTGTGGCTTGATGAGAAGCCACATCATGGAAGAACTCAACAAATGGGAAAAAGACCAACTGTGATCATATTGGAGGCGCACTCCGGGACTCAGACAGTCAAAAAGGTTCATTACCCTTTCAGCAGAAAGAGCTGAACAGACAGCTCCTAAACATGAGCAGAACAGACATCAGATTGGTGGTAGGACTCTTCACAGAACACTGCCTGGTAAAATACAATTTAAGGTTAATGGGCCGTGCAGAAGACAATCTCTGCAGATTCTGCTCAGACGCAATAGAGACCGCAGAGCACCTACTCTGCGATTGTCCAGCCCAATTCTGCAAGAGGCTCAAATTCCTCGAGAGAGCAACACTGTCATCAGAAAAAGTGGGCCAACTGACACCCAGGAAAATAGCTTCCTTCGGCAGAAGTCTACACTTCCTGGAGACAACTTAAGATGTAGAGTCACGTACGAAATATCTGCAAAGGTAGCAGTGCTGAGCGGCTCAAAAGCCGAAACGACTCCCCCTCAATCTACAATGACTCAGCATTCACCATGCTTTTGATGAATACCACAAGCCCCGTATTGTCAGTATTAAACACCAGGTTTGACTCAACGTACCCGACCAACCCACAGACAAACAAGAGAGAGTCTGGCCTTGACAGTCTGACCGATATATCATGAGCATATTGACAGATAAGACCCCCTTCCACCGAGGCAGCCAGGTCATTCACATAGTAAGAAGAGCAATGGCCCCAGTATGGAGCCAAGTGGGACGCCCCTCTGTATCAATAAACTCTCCATAAAATATTTCTGTCCATAATGTAGGATTGTCACAGTCTGACACTTGTTTTCCAAATAAGACCACACAGCCTGGCACTCATGCCCCTCACCCCATACGTACCTCTCCAACTTCCACAACTTGTGATCAATCATATCGAAGGGCTTCAAAAAATCAAAATAAAGGACAGCAACCTTATCAAGGCTTCTGACAAAATAGAGGTTACTTTCTGAAATATTGCTATTTCAGTAGATTTCCCTGGGGAAAACCAAATTGATTGCCATTAAGAATCCCACATTAGATTTCAGTAGTCAATTGTACATTTATAGAACCCAAACTGCCTCTTTATCGCCATCCATCCTAAATCCCAATATAGGAAAAAAGTAGGTATAAAAATTAGTAAACAAACTTATCAATTCAAAAGCTTTTTTTTTAATCTTAAAGATATAAATGCTCTGAAACATCCCAAATATCCAAGTCTTTGACTACAGGAATTTTCTTTTGAATGGCTTCTTCACTTCTTAATTCGTAATATTCCTTCCAACAGTTTTCTTTATCTTTACAAACGCAATCGCCTTTGATGGGAGTAGTATGCAGTTTCATTCCATTTTTTTTTCTTCTGCTGCCAACTTCATCAGTAATAGTTTGTAAATCATCTATGTCTGGGGTCATTAGTAGTCCGAGACTAGGATATATCAGGAAAGCGAATATAGCGAGAACTAAAAAATTATAAATATCTTTACAAAATGAATAAACTTCTTTGGAATATTTTTTTAAAAATGTTGTATCAAAGCCGACGTCGTGTCACATAATTAAAAAAATCTTATTGAAAATTATTCAACAAACACCCTGTAAATAAATATTAATAGGGTTACCAATATTTAATTGTTATAACGATATTACCATTAGGCTACTAAGTCAATAGATTATAATTATTATATAAATAGCAGCCAAAAACATTTATGAAGTAGTGTCAACCAAATCATGCTGTTATAAGTGAGTACTATCATCCCCATTCCCCAAAACTTATGTCCCAGTGAAGAGTCAAGTCCAACTGGTTGCCACTGCCACCCCTATTATATATATACATATACTAGATTTGAGCGTTGATTTACGTCATTTTTTTTTTAGGCGATTTCGGCAAGCTTTGGTACATGGTTTGGTACCCTGTTTGGTCTGTCAAATGCATACCAACCAATTTCGGATACGAAAATGATGTCGTCACCGTGACTTTGGTAGCCTTTTTGGTCTGTCAAATAGGATACCGTGGTCAGCAGCACGGTTCTTCTATTTGGTATAGTGCTATCTACGTCTATTTTCGTTTTGTCCTGCTCTGGAAAATGTAAATAAATGGAAGTTCATTAGAATTTGAATAATTTGAAATTTTTAACAAATATGTTTGTTTTTTCGCCTTCATCTTCCTGATTTCTCGTATGTTTTGACTGCCAAATAATGTTTGACGATCATTTGAAAAACGGCTTTGAACGACAGATATGAGGTAACTTTAACAGCTTTAAATTTACAGAAAACGCTGAGTTACTCAAAGGTACTGTCTAGACAGTGCTGATTAGTGATTATACATTTTAGTCAGTGCAGTCAGTACCTAGTCACTCCCAAAACTAGAAGAACAACACAAACTTAGGTTAAGGCTCGTCTCTTCCCCTCTCCTATGACCTACCAAACGAATTCGGAACAAAATGGTATCTTACGTCATTACTATGACGTTGCAGGTACCAATTGGTTAACCAAATGGTATACCAACCAAAGCTTGCCGAAATCGCCTTTTGTAAATAGTGATTGTAAATATCTATAGGTTACATTAGATCTAGAATTATGATTATAGTAGGCTAGTAGTTTAAGTTAATTTGTAATCTAATATATAAAATTCTCATGTCACAGTTTTAGTTACCTTCGTCCTCCGAAACGGCTTAACCGATTTTTATGAAATTTTATATGTATATTTGGTAGGTCTGAGAATAGGTTTTAAGCTATTTTTTATACCCCTAAGTGATAAGGGTGGTCCACCCCAAAATTTTTTAATTTTTCTTGCTTCTCACCACTACATAACTCAACTTATTTTTGTTTATTCCATTCAACCGACGTAACAGTATTATCTTATAGCATTTTCGTCTTTACTGCTCCCAGAGCGCTCTCTATTTGGGCGGTGACGTCACAGATCTCTGCGGAAGTGCTCCGAGAGCGATTATGATCCAAGCGAGGCACCCTATTTGAAATCAATAGCCAAATGATGTAAAATTATAATTTTAGGTGATTTCTGATCCAGAGAGTAAACATTAGTTTTCTTCAACCAAGGCCAAATTCACCATTGAAAAAAACTTAATTTACTAGATACGTTAACAAAACATTTAATAGGTATTTACTCGGGTATTTAATAATTCGAAGGTGGTACGAAGTTCGCCGATTCAGCTAGTAATGAAAATAAAATCCAAATGCAAATGCAAAATGCATTTGATTTAGTACCGATGTATGTCTTATAGGGTGGTTCAGCAGGCGCAGGCAGTCGTTAGAAACGTGTGTTATTTAGTAAGTGGAGTAGGTAATTAGTAATCAGATTAGCTTTTTTTTTTCTGCAACTTTTGGCATGAAGGCCGGGCAAGTTTTCAGGGGGGTACAAATTGTAGAAGGGCCCCCCCTGGCGTCACCACTGTTAACTATTATGTTTCAACACGTCGGCTTTGATACATAATTTCAACAAAAAAATAGTCCAATAAGCTATCAAAGTTGCTCCATTTCTTTAAAAGAATAATGCATGTATTATTTTTTCCCAATATTTACTTACCTGTTAAGAAATATATTGGAATAGACACTGCCCAATGACGTTGTGGTAGAAAATCGATACCAATTTGTTCAAAATATGTTTCTGGTACTATTGCCCATACAAGATAGACTAGGAAGAATATGTTGAAACTCAAAAACATTACAAAGCCATACACGGCTCGACTTGGTGTAGGTGCTGGTGTATGTTCTGGCATTATTATTATTATTACTTAGTTAATAATGGTTATAGTGTTCACTAACTGGCGGTCCTACAACCTGTACTGTTTCAATAATCAAGTCCACTTTTTGAAAGAAATTAGTTAATGCTACGCGGAGTTGCCTTGCCAGGCCTGCAGTGAAGGTCCTGAAAGATGTATTATTAAAAATTACACTATATAATTACGATGTTCTTTGCTTACACTTTAAGAATAGTATTTTCCAAAGTTAACACCTTGATGACTCCACTTCTTTTGGGTTCTGCATCCACTCTTAGCACATCATGAACAATCTCGGCTATTCTTTTACTGGCAAATGGTAATTCTAAATCACTTGAGGCTACTTAAGGATAATAAATGTCTGGATAAATATAGTTGTATTTAATTGTTCCTTAATAAAGAGATTTTGAAAGGATACATTTTTAGGTTTTTGCCTTTTTCCATTGTACTTTTTGGGTTATCTTGCAGCACTTTTTAGTTATTACATGAGAAATGGAGTTTCTGGATTCAGAATTATTTATTACTTGTAAAATAAAAATGAAATATGCTCAAAAAGAAATTTTAAATTCTTTCATTTAGGTTAGGTTATAGGTCACCATTTCTGTCATCATAGCTAAGTCGTCAGCTGTTTAAGCCTAAGTTCCGATATCAACTGTCAGTACTGAATTTACTGGACGCCGTTCCGATATTATACTGGATTCAGTCGATTCAGTACTGAATGACCACAAGAAATAAGAATACGCTGTTGAAATCGGAACGGCAAATAACAGTAAAATCAGCACAGTAAATCCAGTACTGGCAGTTGATATCGGAACATAGCCTAAACAGCCTACGTCAAGCAGTGATGTGCCCAATGAACTATAACCAAAAGCTGGAATGCGAACACATAAGGACGATCGTGAAGCCTAGTGCAGCTGCTGCGGAGGGGATACCTGTTTTTGTCGCACTCATTATGTTAAATGGCGAAAATTGCTTCCAACACGTATTCCAATCGATGAAACCTGTGAAGGGAAATATGACAAAACTTTGGAAAACTTCATATGACAGCGAGCAACAGAAAAAAACAACATTCCCCCTTGTGGCATCTGTCTTTCATGGCTTCATTTTTTTGGCAGATATGGCAATGTGTGCGCATTCCAGTTTTTAGCTATAGTTCATTGGATGTGCCTGTAGACTGTCAACCAGGGATGTGCGTCTACACGTAGACTTCCATTGTCTACTTTACGTGTAGACAATGTAGACGTAGACAACGTGTCAACAATGTAAAATAACATAAATGACGTTTAATTCTAACCTCACACTTTTCTTTTTTCAAATTATTTTTATTTTATTATTGGTTTTTCTGATATTTTATAATCAGTGAATGCTAATATCGAAGTGATAGTGACAGTATAGTAACTTTTGATATTTTTTTTTCGAATTTTTAAAAATAAGTTATTGTTTACGCCGCATGTAGACAATGTGTAGACAAATGCTCACGTGAACAATTCGAATTGTCTACGCGTAGAGAATCAATTGTTTACGTTGACATTGTCTACAGGCACATCACTGCTGTCAACGTAAACAATTGATTGTCTACGCGTAGACAATGGCATGTGGCATGTAATATTGACAGTTGAGTTGAAGAGGGCGCTTCTGTACTTGGATCTCTTTAAATTTTGGCGCGTAAAAATTCGATTGTAATTCTAACCTCAAAACTGAAGTTTGATGTGTGGTTTCAAGACAAGCTGAGGCTGACACTTTTAAAAATATTCTCTAAGGGCCACTGAACGCTTTAGAAGATATTTTAACTTATCCATTGTCCATTGTTCATAGGTAGTCATCTTACTTTCTACTCAATTTAATCAGTTTTAAACTATTGACATTTACCGCCAAAATTTAAAACACTCCAAGTTCACTCGCGCCCTCTACAAAATTTTGAGGAACTTAACTGGATATTTGCTGCCATTCGAATTGTTTACGTGGGCATTTGTCTACACATTGTCTACATGTGGCGTAAACAATAAACCCATTTTAGAAAATTCAAAAAAAGATCCAAAACTACTACTAACCAAGTAGCTAATACCTATCACTTTGATATCAGCATTCACTGATTATAAATATGAGGAAAATCGATAATAAAATAAAAATAATTTTCGGAAAGGAAAGTGTGAGGTTAGAATTAGACGTCATTTATATTATTTTACATTGTTGACACGTTGTCTACATTGTCTACCATTGTCTACACGTAAAGTAGACAATTAAAGTCTACGTGTAGACGCACATCCCTGACGTCAAGGCAAGAAATAAAATGCTGCCTACGTCACAACTGGTGAGTAGGCTCTGGAGGTAGGGGGGGATTCGTTCCACACAGGCCCTATGAGCAGGGATGTGCGTCTACACGTAGACTTTCATTGTCTACTTTACGTGTAGACAATGTAGACAACGTGTCAACAATGTAAAATAATATAAATGACGTTTAATTCTAACCTCACACTTTCCTTTTCAAAAATTATTTTTATTTTATTACGGGGTTTCCTCATATTTATAATCAGTGAATGCTAATATCAAAGTGATAGGTATAAGCTACTTAGGTAGTAGTAATTTTGGAACTTTTTTTTAAATTTTCTAAAATAAGTTTATTGTTTACGTCACATGTAGACAATGTGTAGACAAATGCCCACGTAAACAATTCGAATTGTCTACATGTAGACAATCAATTGTTTACGTTGACATTGTCTACAGGCACATCACTGCCTATGAGGATAGGCAATCCTGTAGAAGTAGTGTGTATCATTTTTGGGGTGGAGCGACCCTTCCACGTCAGCAATTCACCTTCTTCTAGTTTGCAACCTTCATGTGTTTGAACTGTACGGCGAGGACCGCGAAGAGCCGGGCTTTAGTCCCTAATGTGGCCCCTTATTTTACAAGTTATTTTTTATTTTACGTTTTCATTTTCAACATCAGACAACTTCAAATGCATATCCAGGATTTTGGATTTGAATAAATCAGTCACTCTAGCCGGATATAACCGTTTTCTGTCAAAAGCAAACAGCGTTTTCACGAGTCTAGACTCTGGCTATCTCGATACCTTTTGGCATAATCCAATTCCCGAATGACACCGTCGCCTTCAAAAGTCGCCTTTTTTTTATCGACATAATTACGAGTGGGTAAGACCCAGTGGTAAGACCACGCGGGATGAAATCACGAAGTGTCAATTTTATTTATTTTTGTCATAAAAATGACTGATTACGAAGAAATCGAGTTTTTAGCGGCTATTTGTAAGTGCCTTTTTGTGAAAAATTCTCGATTAACTAGACTAGAGGATTAACACGGGTCTTGGATACAGTCGACATTGTCGACATTACGGACAGTAATTTTGTATTTTTTTCCGTAAAGATTCAGTTTCTAAGGATCTTCTCTTTGAGATTTGGCGAGCAGAGCGAGCAATCGAAAACTCAAAAATAATTTTAACAGGAAGGTACTTTTCAAAAGAGGGTTTTTACCTTTTGATGGATTCGTGTTTTTGAGGATCTTCTTTTTGAGATTTGGCGGGAGGAGCGAGCAGTCCTAGACTTAAAAATATTTCAGATTTCAAGATGTTATTTAAAAATGGTTTTTCGCGTTTTTGATGGATTCACGTTTTCGAGGATCTTCTCTTAGAGCGAGCAATCGGAAATTCAAAAATAATTTAAATTTCATAAGGTGTTATTTGAAAAATATGTTTTGGATTGAATTGGTGTAGCCCAATGACATCAAAACACAGATAGACCGAACAATAAACAAAATCGCACGAAATAGGACCTACATAGAACTTATTATTTTTCACCTTTTCCACTTTTATTTGAATGATCAAAAATTCTGACACTTTACAGTTGTCAAAAACATGTCAATACTATAAAATTTAGATGTTGCCATGCCTAAACATTCGACAATTGTCGAATGCGTTATTTAAATTCGCATACCAACCGAGAATAGAGTTTAGGATTCGCGTTCGACATTTAGATGCGTGATTTGTCGATTGCGAGATTTTTAGTCGTAATAGGGCAGTTTTATGTCCGACGTGCAAGATGGCGTTGCGGCATAGCAAACATAACCTCAAGAGACTGTGTATTTTCTGTCAATTTCTAAAGTGTTTTTATGAGTTTAAGAACGTTTTTTGATAGAAATTTTTATTTTTAGCGTTGTTATGGTTCATGTAATTTATGTTTTTGACATTCACACACTCCGGCACAATTTATATTTTTCAAAAATGCCAAGATTGGCAAGGCATGTTTCACATGCCTATTATCTTTTATTACAAGTGAACTACAAACTTTTACCTCTTCCCAACATCAGGAGATTCCAGCAATAACTTTTGTAGATACGCAATAAGCATTCTGCATTTCATCAAAAATCAAAAAATATTTATGAACTATATGTTTCAGACTGCTTACAATTCTGAAGCACACGAACAACTGATCGGAGGTGAAGAAAATCATCTTGATGTAACTTAGATTTAGGCCTTTAGGCCTTTCTACCTACTTGGAGCACAGTTTCTTGGGGTCCGTTTTGTACCTGATGTCCAGGTATTTTATTAATAGATAAATATTCCAAGTAACTACGAACATTAAAGGAAATTGAAATAAATTAAAATTCATCAAAGTAAACTCTGAAACAGGTAGAAATAAGCGAAATAACACACATTTATATCTGTGTTTATATGGAGGACTGTCTAACCTCAATGGTTTGTTTACATTTGTGCCGCATCGCCATGTTGAATTAAAGCCGGCTTAAGCCGGTCCCACACGATATGGCGAATGCCTTCCAACGTTGGACACATCGCCATTTGACACAACGTGTGGGCGTGCACTGCACTTGGGAATTACATGTGTCCAACGTTGGCCACATGACATGTTCGGGCTCATGTCGGTGAAATTTACCCGCGTCAAAGGAACTTCCAACGTTGGAAGCATCGTTCGTCGCACGCCTACACGAGCGATCATGTGTTTGTCGCATTTAGTATACAATCAGTGTAGCACCAAAGATTTTATTTTATTTTTTGGTTTGTTTTGTTATACCTATATTTTTCTTATTGTAGATTGTAGATTAATAATGGAGTGGAATAATGAACTTATTTTTGAATTTATTCAACTATATGAGAAACATTCTATTTTATGGAATCCCAAACATCAGGGATACAAGAATAGAAATGCTCTAAATGATGCAATAATTTTGCACAAAGTAAAACTAACTATCATGTTTGCAGCAATGCTTATGTCTTTATCTTCCATTTTTAATATATTTTTTTTTCTGTTGAACAATTTTTACGCGAAATACGACTACGACAATGAACGTAGATTGACAACGTTGGCACCAACATCCGTCCAATGTTGGAACTGAAAATTCAACCCATCGTGTGGGAGACACACTTGCCAATTGTAGTGTGTCAAAACATTGGATCCAACGTTGGACGCATCGTGTAGGACCGGCTTTAGTCAAAAAGCCCCAATAAATCCTAGGATGGCGATGAATCTCGGTTTTTACCACTGATCTCAAAAATAAATGGATAAACAAAGAACGCTTCTAATGCTGCTAATTTACGAGGTAAAAATCTAAACAAAAACAACTGACTGGGACAGCTGTGAGCGTGCGCAGTAGATACATGAATTGTGTGTGCACAAAATTTGGCCAATGAAAATGAAGGAATTTCAAAATTTAGAACAGTTGTTCGAAAAATAAGACACTGCGCAGGCGTTAGGCTGTTCCGTTGCACAACTGTTCGTAGAATATTGACCCCAAATTTTCGCACAAATTTTACCAATCAAGCCGTATGAATTGTTTATCCACTTATTTTTTAGATCAGTGGTTTTTACTCGCGGAGGTGAGCCGAAATTTGCTCTCTACACGACACGCCTCTTGTGCACCTGTCTTATTTTTGATTGGTTCTGAAATCCCATATATTTATAGAATCTGGTTCGAAAAAAGGACGGTTCTAGAACGGTTCAAAACAATCGCCCGGTTCATCAATCAACAAAATGACAACGGCTCAGCTATCACAAATTTCAATAATAAACTGTGCGATTGTTTTGAACGGTTCTAGAACCGTCCTTTTTTCGAACCCGAAAATAGCTTATATTGAAAACGCGGCCATCTTGTTCCCACCTATTGCTTATTTCAAATATGAATATTTGGGATTTGGGTGAAATCCATCATAAAACATGGAAAACAATGTATTTGATGAACCTAATAATAAAGTTTTTTTTTTTTAAGATAAAAGTCAAAATGACATTATGTTGGTAATACAATGTAAAATTGTCAATGCTATCAAATTTTTTATGTAGAAAAGGCTTGTGTTGCCAACAGAGTTACTAAATTTTTGACTTGGGGAATTAATTATCTTTAAATAAAAAAACAAACTTCAGTCATCAAATACGTCAATTTCATTTTTTTATGATAGATGCAACATAGATGTCCATTGAAATCCTATATATTAATATTTACAAGTAACAAAAGGTTGGGAACAAAATGGCGGCAAGACCTCTATTGTCGCCACTCGCCACTCCTTGCGTTCGGTATTTTGCTCAAAGAGCAGAGCGTGCTGAGCGGAGCCGTAATCACGTGATCAGTGAGCGAACAGAGCAGTTGAACGCTGAATAAAAGTGCCAGAAATTTCAATAAACGAACGCGAATGAGGCTGCACCGAGTACACTTTTTAAATAAACGAACGGTAAAGTCAAGCTCGGAGAACTCGGACCAAAATAACGAACGCACGGACTGTATAAAGGTTTATTCGCCACTGTACTTCAAACCAACCGACCACCAAGGATAATAAACACTACTAAGGATTGCTTATCGGTCTCGTTTTTAGTAATCGCCGTCATATTGGTGTCTCACCATTTCCGAAGTCACAACCAAGTCGTCAGCTGTTTGCACTAGATGTCGCTTTAAGCGTTGATTATCTTTACCCCCGTTTAAATGGTCAGTGCAAACGGTCATTAGAATATTATAATGTAGTAAAACCAAGCAATAAGCAAAAGTCCGCGGAATTATCATAACCTCTAGTGGAAACAGTCTACGTCAAGACGAGAAACGACATGCTGCCTACGTCACAACTGGTGATTTGGCGTGGTGGGGTCTTCAGATTTGTTCGTCACAGGCCTCATGAAGATAGGCTATCCTGTACCTAGTAGTAGTGAGTAATATCCTTGACCGACCACCGACCCAATAGTCCTTTTCACGTGGTCCGGTTTAAACTAACCGGGTTACAAAACGGTTAGAGAAATGACATACCGTTTTCTAACCCAGTTACAAAGTGACCAGATGCATACCTACGACTAGAATTTGAGCGGTATGTTGCGGTTTGTTAAACCGGACCACGTGAAAAGGGTTAATGAAGTAGAAAAAAGGTTTGGAATGGGCTTTGCGTCATTCAATTGATTCCAGAATGAGATAGAGCTAGTAAGGGCAAAAAAATCTATCGATTCTCCCATATCTCTCACTCTAACCCTGAGTGAGATAGCGCTAGTAAGGGCAAGAAAATCCCACGGATTTCTCCTGTTCTCTCACTCTAATGTTGGCCGCAAATATATGTATTGAGTAGATAGGCAAAGCGGCAAAGGGCTATTCCAACCTTCTTACATAGACCTGCCGTCACCCGCAGGCATCGATGGAATACTTGCGATTCAAGTTGTGCTTGTTTTTTGATGATTTATGTAGAAAAGGTGATTTTAACAAAATTATAACGTTCAGGAATTTGGACTTATACTCTTTTAAACTCAGCTCAGCTAATACCTTGGGCTAATGCATATCCTTGGGGCCGGTCATCTTTTTGCTCGCTGAGGATTAACCCACGATTAACCGAACTCGTCCGGTATTAGGTCACTCGGAACACATTTTACTGCTCCGAACATGGGCGCTCGTGTAAACTTGCAGACACCAGACACATTTTAATTCGATTATCCGTATTTATTTATTCATATTTTTGGTCGAAATTCATTTATGCTATATTTTAATCCATACCATCCATACTATTGAACACAAAATGTGAAGCAAACAAGATAGTGCAACATGAAAAAGTTATGCTCTTGGATCTATTCGAACTTGGTCGTTACGTTGACGCTGCCATCTAGCGAGAGGAAAAGAGCAAAACGGTTTCTATCCTTTTCCTTCTCATGTTATGGAATCGAATAAGGTGACAACAATTATTCAGAGAAAAATTACAACAACAGCATAAAAAAACAAGGTTATGTTGCCTTTCTTATCAGCTGTCAAAAAAACGGTACCCCCATTTCATTTTTTATTTGCATTAATTTGCAATAATAATTTCTTTCTTATCAGTAATTAATTTATTTTCGATTACGCCCGTTAATTTCGCGTTTCGTTTCAGTGTTCCAAATTTAGTAGCAGATAATGAAAATGCCACCACCCACAGTGGAAAATCAAAATTCCATCTTGTTGTCCACAGAGGAAAATTTACAAGTGTTCAAGTTATTGGGAAATAGGTGCCAAACGATTTCCACGACTGTTGTACAGCTTTTCATTACTTCACCGCCTAGTCATTCGCAATGGATCAAAAGAGAAACTGGTGTCTTGTGCTTTGTAAGGGACAATATCAAGAAAAACTATTTTTTTCGAATGTTCAGTTTGAAAAAGAATCGCATGGTATGGGAACATGAGATGTATAATAATATGGAATATATAGAATCTTCACCTTTTTTTCATACGTTTGAAGGTAAGTGGTATACCAATTTAATTCCTCTTGAAGAAATCATATGAGTCAGCTCATACCTAGTGATGTGATTCATTTAAATACATAATATAGGTACTGTTACTTATATAGCCTTGGAGCTTGTATTAAAAGGGTTCTTTGGACCAATTGATTTACTCACTTAATGTCAAGTTAGTACAATACCTAGACTTTTCCCTATCTTATCCTTATCATTACATAATAAGGGTTTCATTATTAATTTGTCCTACTGTTCCTATTGCCCTAACAGCTCAGAGCTGAAGATTTCCTTAATTCAACATCTTGCAGAATCTATTATCTAAGTAAGTACATCACAACAAAAATCATGCTGAAGTTTTGCATTTAGATTTTGATTGCTCCAAATTGTTTAGAATTTTGTGGCAAATTCTCTGACAAATTTTAGGTAATATGCTGTCTGTATTTGTGCGAAAAGGTTCCTACTCACCATAGAACATTGAGGGGGAGTCATTTTGATTTTGTTTGATAAATTGGATACATGTATAAATTAATCAGGGGTTTGAATATGCCAAGGTTGTGTAGATATAACCAAAACATATAAATGTACCTACTTGATACGATTAGCACATTTCATTCAAAACTCTATTCAATTTAGCGGCGAGTTTAGAGCGGTATATCAAAATTTGTTTACCTATAGCAAAAGTACCACCCAAGCTATAATTTATGTCTCCAATTAAGTCGAGAATTAAGCAGGGTTGTTATGTTTAAAAAAAAATGTTTTAAATATTTGTTTTAAACATGTTTAAAACACCTAAGTGTGCTTTAAATAAATTTGTTTTAAACTGTTTAAAACATGTTTTGAACAGTATTTTTTTTGGGCTTTACCCTGGAATTAAGTAGGTACATATTTACAAAAATACTTTATTCAAATACTTATTCAAAAACAAGTGAATGAAATTCAATTGAAAATTGATGATAATTCAGATAATTATTTTGATGTAAATGTTGATTCAGTTCAACACAGAGTCAATGTTTTTTTGTTTTTTTTTAATATTGATCCTCTCACAAAAGACAAAGTCGAGGGGTAAGTCACCTTTAAAATTGTGTACAATAAATTACCACTTTCTTCAAAAAATACCAATAATTACCAAAAAACATTCCAAAAATATTAATAAATACCAAAAAAAGTCCAATAATTACCAGAAAAATACCAGTAGTTGCCAAATAATATCAATAATTACCAGAAAAATACCAATAATTACCAAAACAATACCAATAATTACCAAAACAATACCAATAATTACCAAAACAATACCAATAATTACCAAATCAATTACCAAGAAATACCTACTAATAATTACCAAAAAGCTAAGGATCCATGAATTTAAGAAACTTCTGCTGTTGCATACTTCTCGGCATACTCTAAGTGGGGCTGCAATCAACAGGCTAACTCTAGTGACAGCGCGTGTAATAAAGGAATTCATGGTCGGGACGTCACTAGCGGCCATTTTGGGATACGAAACAGGGCCTGATTAATAATAATTTAGGTTTTTTTCTTTCGTGTCACAGAGTCGTATTGGCTCTAAATAAAGTTATTGGTTTAGAAGAAAGACAATGGAATTTTATAAAACGTTGGCTATGGCTTGAGAATTTTTAGTATTGAATCAACTGATAAAATAATTTAATAGGTCTGTTTCTGCAGAAATCACAAACCAGTCAGACCTAATTTTATTGGTTGAAAACAGTCAGAAAACTAATTCCAACCAATGAAATTCACTCTGATTGGTTTGTGATTTCTGCAGAAACAGACCTATTATTACTGATAGATAATATTTATAATTACCAATTTATTATTATTAATAAATTCACAAGAATGATAACCGCATAAATGACAACACTAAGAATACACTAAAATCACAGCATCTAAAATTCTATGCTGTGCTAAAATTACAGCTTAAATTCCGCTCTACACCGCACGTCTATGACCTCCACCAGAAATAAACAAGTAAAATAAAATGTCGGCGTCCCTGCCGTTCAATGACAGGATCGTATTCCCTCATGGCGGCGTGCGCAGAAAAGATGCACGTGAGAGTTAGCCTGCTGATTGTTATAGTCTATGCTGTGGTAATGTTCAAGTTATATTATTGTAAAAAAAAAGTTACATCTTCTCTGGATTGTGAGTTTTGTGATTCTAGTTATCATCCTAGTTGTGCCTTTCAGGCAAAAGTGGCAAATAATCAAAAACAAGTAAACTGTTGTCGAACAAGTGATAAGAGTGAGGTTAGAGACAATATAGAAGACCTAAAAGCCTTAAAAATGGATGAAAAAAAAATTAAAGCTGTTGTCAGGAGTCTTTTTGACGAATATATGAATCCACTAAAAAAGAATATGAAGGAGGATATGGAAGAACTAAAGAAATCAGTTCAGTTTTTGTCAAATTGTTTTGATGATCAAAAAAAGGATATAGTTAATCTCCTAACTGAAATAAAGACTCTTAAAGAGGATAACTTTACTCTAAAACAAAGAGTTCAACTACTTGAGGAGAAACTGAATACAAACGAGCAAGTTGAAAAAGCAAATAACCTTATAGTGGTTGGAATCCCAAAACAAGAAGGACATCCATCTTTGGTCATCGTGAAGGTATTTAAAACAATGAAATTGGATATAAATGAAAACCATATAACCGATATATACCCTGTGTCCAAGAAAGAAGGTGCGCCATTGCTGATGAAACTGAAAAATATGGAAATCAAGCAAAAAATTCTGAAGAAAGTGAGAGAATTGAAAGGAATTAAAGTTGAAGAATGTGGGCTACAAGGAAGGAATAGAAACATCTACTTTAATGATGACTTAACTCTTCAAAACCAAAATCTTTTCAAAAAGGCTAGAGAATACAAACAAGCAAACAATCTTAAATCAGCCTTCGTAGCAAATGGTAGGATATTTATAAAAAAAAATGATTCAGACCCACCTATTAGGATAAAGAGTGAAAGCTGTCTGATCAACTAAATACCTACCTACATATAAATCTCTTATAATATGTATATAACAAAAAACTTTAAGACTAAAAATGGCTACCTACGATAAATTAAATATTCTGTATATAAACATTAGAAGTATAAGAAATAAGGTTGACGACTTAAAAGACATAGTTTTAAATAGTCAAAAAACTATTCATCTAATCATATTGACAGAAACTTGGATGTATCCAAATGAAAAGCAGTTTTTTAATCTCCCTTCATATGTCGCCTTACATGACTGTAGGGAAACCCGAGGGGGTGGAACAAGCATTTTTATTTGGCACGAACTTGGCTTCATACATAACCAGAGGCACCTGGTGAATATTGAAGACTGCAACATTGTTTCTGTGTACTTGCCTCGACAGAACTTAACAATATATGGTTTATATAGGCCTCCGCATAGTAAGTGTCAGACTTTCATTTCCGAATTCGATAAGTTATTGGAGAGACAACAAAGCCGTGCTTTAATAGTTGGAGATGTGAATTTGGACTTGCTAAAAAATGCGGGTGCTGTAGTAGATTATAAAAACTCTGTTGTGTTAAATGGATATCAAATTCAAAATACTATTACAACTGAAAATGCTACTCGAACTACAACCAATACAGCTTCAATACTTGATCACATCATAACAAACAAGAATATTATTTGCAATCTAACATTAGCAGATAATTCAATATCTGATCATAGAATAGTTTACATAGAAGTAAAAAAAATGACATTCAGTAAAGAGAAGGAAATTTTTAAGAAAGTTCACCTGAATACAGAGGCATGGTTACATAGTGTGGGTTTGAGGCATGAACAAGAAAATATAGAAACATTTGAACAGCTGGCTAATATCATAAATGAAACCAAAAAAGAACATATATCAGAAAAAATACTTAAAATACAAACAAAAAATTATTGGATAAATGACTCATACATAAAGATGCTTAGGCAACGAGACAAATTATACATAAGATGGAAGAGAATCCAAAATGATCACACCGAGAACGAGTTCAAAAAAGCAAAAAATAAACTAAACAATATGAGACGTTATTTACAAAAAAGGTATGCAGAAAAACAGTTCCAAGAAACAAATGGCGATCAGAAAAAAGTCTGGAAAGTCTTAAATAAGTTATGTGGTAAAAGTGGACACAAAAGCAAAATTCACAAAATTATAGCGACAGATGGTAGAAAACTGGAAAGCAACACAGAAATAGCTCATGAATTCAACAGGCATTTTTCAAATATTGGCTGCACTCTTGCTTCAGGCATAAAAGACCCCCAGAGACAATTTGAAGAACAATCGATAAATGAAAGTATATTCCTTATCCCAACTGATGTAAATGAAATTAAAGAAATAATAACTGCTCTTAAGAACAACTGTGCTCCAGGAATGGACAATGTGACAAAGTCTGATCTCTTAAAATTATTCCACATAATTGGAGAGAAAATGGTGAAAATGATCAATAAAATCCTTGAAACAGGTATTTATCCACAAGAGCTGAAGATCGCTAAGGTCATACCACTGCATAAAAAAGGCGCTCAAGATGAGCTAAATAACTACCGACCAATATCCCTGCTAAGCACCTTCTCCAAAGTACTTGAAAAAGTCATTAAAACCAGACTAATAAGTTTTATCAATGGGTCCTTTAAATTTGATAATGGGCAGTATGGTTTTCAGAAAAACAGTAGTACCTTGGGTGCTACTGTAGATCTTCTGGAATATGTATCAAACGAAATTGACAAAAACAAGATTGCAGTATTGGTGTTCATTGATCTTCAGAAGGCCTTTGATACAGTCAATATTGACATCCTCCTCAATAAATTGTATAATATGGGATGCAGAGGAATTACCTACAAACTGTTGGAAACATATTCAAAGAACAGAGAACAATACACAGTTGTAAATGATGTATCTAGTAGCAAGGCAGGTGTACAAGTTGGTGTAGCTCAGGGATCAGTTTTGGGACCCTTACAATACTTACTTTATGTTCATAGTATGAAATTTATCGGACTTCAAGCAA